AGGGAGCATGTACAGATTCTGAGGTGTACTGCAAAATCACTTGCCAAAAAAAGGGCTGTTTAAAATTTTGTCCCACCAACAGCATCTAAGAATGCCTGTTTTCCCTACCCAAACTGGATATTGCCTATTTTTAAACCTTTGGCCGTGATGTTGGGCAAGTAGTATTCTAATATGCATTTCTGGATTATTCCTATGAATTCCTGATCATTCTTTATCTTGAATCACATTTCTTTTTTTTTTTTTTTAATTTTTTTTTTTAACGTTTTATTTATTTTTGAGACAGAGAGAGACAGAGCATGAACGGGGGAGGGTCAGAGAGAGAGGGAGACACAGAATCGGAAGCAGGCTCCAGGCTCTGAGCCATCAGCCCAGAGCCTGACATGGGGCTCGAACTCACGGACCGCGAGATCGTGACCTGAGCTGAAGTCGGCTGCTTAACCGACTGAGCCACCCAGGCGCCCCTCTTTTTTTTTTAAGTTCATTTTTTGTTTTTTTAGTAATCTCTCTATCCAACATGGGGCTTGAACCCACAACCCTGAGATCAAGAGTCGCACACTCCAACAACTGATCCAGCCAGGCACCCCTCACTTATTTTTCTAAATGGACTGGCTTTATAATTTTTTTTAACTCTATAATTTACTCATTCACATTCTCATCCATTTTCACTTCATTTCTTAAGTGAAATCTGATTTCTTAAGTGAGATCTGTTCATAATCTGGATTTTTGTACGTGTGCGTGTAGTGTGAACCAGGAAACGATTTTCTTTTATTTCCGAAAGGAGAGCTAACTTTCTAACCTCTTTTACCTCATTCCTCCTTCTCCCACTCATTTCTGATGCCAGCTTTATAGTCAGAAACTTCTAGTTGGATGAGTCTTTTTTTGAACTTCTCTGTTTGGTTAATCTTTTGATCTATTTATGAAACAATACTACTTCATAAATCACTGTGACGTGCTCTTTTGTCTGCTGGGATCCGGTGCGTCCTCCTCACCGCGTGTTTACTCAGTGTTCCAGAAGTCCTTGAAAGTCAGCTGGTCAGGTCCCACCCAAAGTATTGTTAGGATTTTGACTGGGATTGTGATGTTAAATTTAGAGATTAATTTCAGAAGAATGGGCTTTATGTTATTGGAATTTTCAAAATAAGTCTAAAATTAAGTTAATCTATAGTAACACATACACGGTTCCTTTCCTACTTCAAAAACTTCCATAACCTTTCTCCCAGGAATCCGTAGTGTCTCAGGCCAACAGAATACTTAGTGTTTTGGTAGATTTTTTTTTTAAGATTTTTTTTTTAATGTTTATTTATTTTTGAGAGAGTGGTGAGAGAGAGCATGCATGCACAAGTCAGGGAGGGGCAGAGAGAGAGGGAGAGAGAGAAGCCCAAGCAGGCTCCACACTGTCAGCACAGAGCTCAGTGTGGGGCTTGATCTCACAACCGTGAGATCATGACCTGCGCCAAAAGCAAGAGCCAGACGCTTAACCGACTGAGCCACCCAGATGCCCCTATTATTATTATTCATGGTTCTCTGTGTTGGCTAGATTCGGCGGGACAATTTTTGCTTGAGTTCCTACGTGGTTGCTATTAACTGTTGGCTGGAACTGCAGTCGTTTGAAAGCTTAACTACTTGACATCCAAGGTGGTTTCCTTCCACGGCTGGCGGTTGATGTTGGCTGTGGGCCGGGAGATCAGCGGGGATTGTTACTTCTCCACGCGGGTGCCATCTGCTCACACGGGTAGTGGGGCTCAGAGTGCTAAGGACAAGCATTTGAGATGGAGAACGCTGAAAGACTTCTTCTGACCGGGTCTTGAAGTTTCAGGAAGTCATTTCCATTATGTTCTATTTGGTAAACCAAGTTATTAAGTCCAGCCCGGATTCTAGGGGAAGAGAATTCTATTCCAGCTCATGTTCAGAGCTGCATGTGCAGTAGAGTTTTTACTGGGGGCAGCGACCTGTACTCTGGCCTGCGCAGTTTACAGTGCATCCTGCATGAACAGTATTCTCACTTCCTCTCAAGACCCCCAGAGTGTCACCTCCTTACGGCATCTGGCGTGACCCCTCCATCTCGTCGTCTAAGTCAGGTCTGCTATGGATGAGGCTTCTTCAGTGTGGTTCCTCAAGGACAGCTCTTGGCAATGTGAGGACCAGTGCGCTAATAGGGCCGGTTTTTGCCCCCCTCCCCCCAGTACCCAGTATATAGTGGTGAACAGTGATAGGATACTTGTAGTAGATCCTTCTGTTAAAAAAAAAGGAGAAGAATGCAAGTTGCTTAGCAATCTCTGGTCCATAGTAACTGTGGGATCCAGATGGACACCTGTTACCCGTGCCTTGAGTGGTGCCCCCATCTAGTCCCTGTGAGTTGGTCTCAGTGGCTCTTTATCCACACCCTGAGCTGTCCTTCCTTTTTATACAAGAGGTAGCCAGATTTTCCCGTTGAATAACTTTCTCAGCCCACTACCTACCAGTAGATAACTGGGGACGTGAAAATCTCTTCGTTTTGAACTGTTTCTCCCTTGGAGTCCAGTCTTGTGTAACTCTCTTGAAAACTGATGCGGGCTTCCTGTGTGTCCAACTAGAAATCTCCTGCATTTGACCGAAGCCACACCCACAGACCTCTTTCAGACAGTCTCCCTTTTCTTTGCTCTGAAAGTGCTGTGGGACAGCACCCTCCAGGTTCTTGTCTAGCCGAGTGTCTAAGAGGCATAACCTTGAGATTCGTGGCAACTGCTGTTTTTTTCTGAGAGGTTCTCTAAAGGTGTGCCCTTAACGTCTCCCTGAGGTGCCATGTGGAACAGTACCTCTTGACTCATCTTCACTGTGATTGCTTGAAGAATATTTTGTGACCGGAAAGATTGTCCTGAGCTCGCTCTTTTTTTTTTTCCTCTCTAAATTCTGCTAAACACCTGAACACTTCTCTTTTTTAGTTCGTTGCTCTGTATGGACAAAGTATCCATACTTTGTCGTATGCGCCTAAAAGGAACCCGTTAGCGCTTCTGGAAGGTATGTTTTCTATTTTCCACATCAGAGTGAGCAGCAGTGTTTCTGTAGCTTCCAATTACCATTTCCTGACTGCTCTACATGTTCACTAGCAATTCCCTTCAGGCCTTTACTGCTTCCACCTGCCACGCCATCCCAAAGCCCGTCCTGTGTGCTCCAGGTTTTTATTATGGTAGCACCCCGTTTTCACTTACCGATTTCTCTTCTGATTATATACCACTCTACCAAACTGCAGTGGCCTCAAACAAGTAGGTATGTTATTTTGCTAATGACATTGTGGGTCAGGAATTCTGGAAAGGTTCAACGGGATAGATCGTCTCTTTTTGATAGGGCGTCTGCGTCGTCACCCACACATCTCACAACGTGGTGTCTGTCTCACTCTGTCTCCTACGTGGTGTCTCATCCTCCAGAACTTCTGCATGTGGTGATCTCCCCATAGTCACCCTTCTTTCCTGACCACCAGCTTCCAAAAGGCAAGAAGTAGAAAGTGCCAGGCCAATTGCGGGCTGTCCTCGGAACTAGCACAGTGTTACTGCCGTAATCTACTGGCCAGAGGAGTTGAAGGCCAACCGGGTTCAAAGTGGGTAGAGAAGTAGACTCTTGTTCTTAACGGGGGGAAGGGCAAAAGGTCAGGTTGTAGAAGACCATATGAAATGAGAGATATTGTAGCCAGATGTCAATCAACCACATGATTTTTAGAAATTGTGATTTGTGGACTCTGTGTGCATGAGTATGTGTGTGTGCTATTTTGTCAGTTACAGCTATTGGGAGTATATTAGCTTTGTAAAACATTTCAATTAGCAAGCTATCCTCCTTCCCCCCCCCCCCCCGACCTCAGGAATAATTCACATAGATCAAATTACCTATATGTCTAAAGTTTAAAAGATCTCTTTCATAAAACTACCTAAATTGCCTACACAAGAAACTTAAGATTTTAAGTTAACCAAATACATTGTTTTTTACCCTATCGGTTCCTTCTGTATTATCAATGTTTTAGAAAGTATGTCCCCAATTTGAGAACATTTGAATATTTATCCACATTTCCTGTGTGTTTTGGTTTTAATGTTGTGCAGTAATTCTTTTTTTTTTTTAATTTTTAAATGTTTATTTATTTTTGAGAGAGAGAGTGAGTTCAAGTGGGGTAGGGGAGACACAGACTCTGAAACAGGCTCCAGGCCCTGAGCTGTCAGCACAGAGCCCAGTTTGGGGCTCAAGCCCATGGACCAGGAAATCATGACCAGAGCTGAAGTTGGACGCTTAACCAACTGAGCCACTCAGGCGCCCCTTAATGTCCTACAGTAATTCTTTAGTTCATCTGGAATTATCTAATTCTTTAGTTCATCTGGAATTATCTTGTTAACTATTTAGATGATAATCCGGCCCTGCTAATTTGCATTGCAGCCTTTATCTATGCAATGTTAAGTGTTCTAGAATCTGTTTCTGGTCTCTTCTATTGATATGTAAATTATTTTCCATTCTGTGTGTTTAAATATTGTAACTGTCCCAAGCACCTTGAGATGTGAAAATCACTAAATGTTCATGCTTGTAATATGTGAGTAAATGCTACCTGATCCACACTAAAGATGTATGATTTTAAACTGTTGAGAACAAGAATTTATTTAATGTATGATCTAGCCACACATTTTTGTGCCAAATTGTGTTTTCTAAAAAGGAAGAATAAATAGAAAAATTACCAATACTCACAGTTTTATACTTGTGAACATGACTTTCAAATCTGTCATTTGGGTTATGGAGGTCTTTCAGAAGGAAAAAAATAATGAAAGCATTGATTAAATGGATTTACCATTGAAGGTGGTACGAAAGTCAAGTAAACTAGGTACTAGTAAAGAGTTTTTACAATTTATTGAAGAAAGCTATTTGTGGAGTAGATCTAGAAATATTTAATTTTTGAACCATATCATATGGTTAATACAGTATTTTAAAATGTATTCTCTAATAAAATGAATCTTTTATTTTCACTAATCTAGTTTGTTTCTGTTTTCCAGATATTGTTTTGTGTTTGCTTTGGGATACCTCACAGTGTGCCAAATTACTAGAGTCTATATCTTTGATTATGGACAATATTCTGCTGATTTTTCGGGGTAAGAGTAAAACTTTGATTCAGTAGCCTGTTTTATCTACTGTCACGTTGGTGGAAGGACAGCCTATGGTTGCATTTAGTAGTTCTAATGAAAAGCTATTGACAAACGTTTTTGTTGAAAATTCCTCTATGAGCTGAGACGTTTTCTTCATGTAAAGTGGCCTTTTGTAGTGCTTATAAGTCACAAAAATAACCTGTCCTTTTAAGTTGACTTCTATAAAATTTCCAAATATGTAGCAATTGAATTTGTCATATGGCATTCTGATCTTGAAAGCATTTCCTAATTTCACAGAAATTTCTGCCATCAGTTATAACTGTTGAAAACCATCCCCCTTCAGCCTGTATCCTTGAGTCTCTTTCTTTGATCTCTTGAGCGAATCCCTTTTGTACAGTCATTCACCAGCTTCTCTGTAAGATCTGGTCACTTCTGCTTCTTAACAGCCCCTGAGACTTTTCTTTGGGCCAGAGGTCCTCTGAATTTTCTAGAGCAGACATTTGAATATGTATTTTGGTTGCATGCATTTTCACTTTCATGGAATATTCTGCTTTCTTATGTCTGCACTCAACTGAGTAGTGGAAAGAACTTCTGGCTTTTTTGTTCCTTCAAAGGGGTCGTAGTCTAGTTGCTCCATGGTACTCTTTGTCCTGCAACAAGCTGATGAAATGTCTATTCCAAAATAAACATAGGCCGATCCTTAAGGACTGACTTGCTTACCATCCTTATAAAGGGACCTCTGCTAAGGATAAGCAAAGTAGAAAAAATAAAGTATGTCATGGCAACTCTGAAAAAAAGTTATTCAACATTAGAAATGGGCCAAAGTTGTATGAGCTTAGAGAAAAATTATTGCTATGAAACAAGAGAATTCTAGAAGTTGAAATTTTCTTTTTCTCCTTAATGGGATTCAAGTAGATTTTACTTTTTTAAAACAGATTAAAAAAATAGATTTGGATGAAAGGAGATCGCATGCAAAAGAACAAACAAATCAAGCCGAAACACACTGATTAAATACACTTTACAAACTAGTTAAATTAGCAATATATCGGGTAGAATAGAGACATATACCCGGAATTCAGAAAAGGAGAATAGATGCTGGCAGTCTAGCTTATAAATAATAGATATTCTTGGACACAAAGAGCTAATGGATGGAATCAGTAAACATATTGGGCACTGAAAATCTTCACGAACTTGAAGGTGTAAGCCCGGTCACACGTTGTCATTAGGGTATGAGAGTAGGACCTAGTTGTGAATGTTTACAAGAGTCAAGATCACTTAGACAGTTTAATCTTCCTGGGAACAGTTACCCTACTGTTCATCGCGGTATCCATAGTGTTTAGCACATGGCGACATTGAATAAACCCTTAATGGATCAATAATAATAATACCTCAGTTAAGAGGAAAGTAGAAAATACAGTGAGAAAAATGGGGGAAAACAACAAACACAGAGTAGAAAACCTGAGCAGCGCAGGCAAAGCTGTGCTATCCAAGATAAGTTCAGAGCTTACTGGGGCACCTTGGGTAGCTCAGTGGGTTCAGCATCCGACTTCAGCTCAAGTCATGATCTCGTGGTTCGTGGGTTCAAGCCCTGCGTTGGGCCTTGTGCTAACAGCTCAGAGTCTGGAGCCTGCCTCAGATTCTGTCTCTCTCTCTCTCTCTCTCTGCCCCTCCTCTGCTCACGCTCTGTCTCTCTCTTTCTCTTTCAAAAATAAACATTAAAAAAAAAATTCAGAGCGTTAGTGCTTGTGTTACAGTGAATGAAGAATGAATGAATTAAGCCTTTAGTATGAAATACAAACAAAAAGAATACTCTTGACTAATTCAGTTTATGCATGTAGATAACAGGAATGTGAACATTAGCAGCTAGTAGTTAATACTGTAAAATCACTAATTTTCAAATGGCCTTCTTCAGTGCTAGGACACTGTAGCCATGTTCCAGGGACACTTAAGCAGGTGAGGCTGTCCCCTCTAGTCTCACTTCAGCCACAACTGCTCTGTGTCTCTAGCTTATATTTTGGGATTCCACATATACTTCATTTAACAAATATTGTGCTGCTTATATTTTTAAACTGCCAGATTTTTATTTATTTATTTAAAAAAAATTTTTTTTTTTTTAGTGTTTATTTATTCTGGAGACAGAGACAGAATGTGAACAGGGATGGGGCAGAGAGAGAGGGAGACACAGAATCTGAAACAGGCTCCAGGCTCTGCACTGTCAGCACAGAGCCCGACGTGGGGCTCAAACCCACGAACTGTGAGATCATGACCTGAGCTGAAGTCAGACGCTTAACCGACTGAGCCACCCAGGCGCCCCTAAACTGCCAGATTTAAAAACCAGTCTAACATAGCTAAATTGAGCTCATTGATGCGGTTCTTGTGAGTACAGATGTGCGTGACACAGTGTTTACTGGGCCCTCACAACTGCTCTTTTGGTTGATCTAGTCATCGCCTTTCTGATTTCTCAAACCTGATACTCTAAACTTGTTACTGTCTAGGCTCACACTGTTAAAACATCATAATTTCAGTGGCTTAACATAATACGTGTTTATTTCTCAGCCACTTTGATGGTCCACTGAATAGGGAGCCTTTGCTTCACACAGTCATTTAGGGAAGCTTCTTTCTTAGGGCTTCACCTCCGTCAGCATCTCTGGAATCCTTTTTTTTTATTAAAAGGATTATTTTTTAATGTGTATTTTAGAGAGAGAGTGCGCACAAGTAGGGGACGGGCAGGGAGAGAGGGAGACACAGAATCCGAAGCAGGCTCCAGGCTCTGAGCTGTCAGCACAGAGCCCCATGCAGGGCTTGAACCCACGACCCATGAGATCATGCCCTGAGCCTAAGTTGGAAGCTAAACCACCTGAGCCCCCAGGTGCCCCTGGAATTCTCTTGATTACGCTGATGGAGACGCTATTGGGGAGCAGAGGGAGAGCTTCCTCACCACTGCTGCTCACCCCCGATTGGAAAAGACTGCTTATGTGGCCCACAAATTAGAGGGTAGTTTGCAGTAAGAGCAAAACACGTGTTTAAAAATAGCTTTATATGGTGTGGCTTTATTTTGCTGAAATGTAAAATTTCATTAAAAAATTTTTTTTAATGTTTATTCATTTTTGAGAGAGACAGAGCATGAGTAGGGTAGGAGCAGAGAGAGAGGGAGACAAAATCCGAAGCAGGCTCCAGGCTCCGAGCTGTCAGCACAGAGCCCAACGCGGGGCTCGAACTCTTGAACCATGAGATGTGACCTGAGCCAAAGTCAGATGCTCAACCAACTGAGCCACCCAGGTGCCCCTAAAATTTCACTTAAATACTTAAATATAATTTACAAATGTTTAAGTATGTGGAAGAAAACAACATAGCATTTTAAATATAAACCTGATACAAAACTCCTAGTTTAATGTGTAATTTTTATCCATTAGGAGGAGACATTTGATCATCATCAGTAAACTGATAAAGATTAGGCAGAAACAAATTAGCTGAAAGAGGCCTTCTGGGAGAATGAAGCTGAAGGACTTTTTTTTCTTATTGGACACAGGACAGAGAAGAAGCCATCTAGAGGCAGACTTTCCCCTTAATGAAATATTTAGGCATTTAGAAGCCTTGTCCTCTCTCTCTGCCCCTCCCCCGTTCATGTTCTGTCTCTCTCCGTCCCAAAAATAAATAAAAAACGTTGAAAAAAAAAATTAAAAAAAAAAAAAAAGGGGGCGCCTGGGTGGCGCAGTCGGTTGAGCGTCCGACTTCAGCCAGGTCACGATCTCGCGGTCCGTGAGTTTGAGCCCCACGTCAGGCTCTGGGCTGACGGCTCGGAGCTTGGAGACTGTTTCCGATTCTGTGTCTCCCTCTCTCTCTGCCCCTCCCCCCGTTCATGCTCTGTCTCTCTCTGTCCCAAAAATAAATAAAAAACGTTGAAAAAAAAAATTTTAGAAGCCTTGAGCGTGTTATAATACGAGCAGAAAAGATCCTAACTTGAACCTAATTAGGGTAAATATCCAAAATGTTGGGCGTCTGAAGAAGGTAGAGTTGAATACAGTGGCCATCCTTTGTCCTGAACTGTGCTGTTGCCTTGAAGCTGGCCGCACAGGAGGTGGAACCAGGCTCTTGCTGAGGAACCGCATGGGAACTCTTCCGTCCGGGGCAGTCTTTCTTGCCTGAGGCACAGGAAACTGATATTCTGCCTGTATATGAATGTGAACATCTGTGTGTTTGGGGTGGGGAGTGGGACATGAGTTCAAGATACATTTGAAATGTTGATCAGATTAAAGGGACTCGTTTCTTAGCAGAAGTTCCTTTTTGCAGAAAGGTCGAAAACCACTGTAGTCTTGACTTTCGTGGTAGCCTTAGAAAATAGAGGAGACATTAAAATAATTAAATAACTTCCCTTTAGATTAGCAATAACCAGTTAGCAAGTATAATAAAGGATCCTAGCTTCACAAGCAATGAAAACCATGACAATGTCTATCTGAGAATACATGTAAGAAGAAATGCACAGGACCTCAGTGTAGAAAACTGTAAAACTTTATTGTAGGATATAAAAGAACCCTAACGGGAGAAGTATCTTGTTATTCAGATGGTAAAATTTAATATTATAAAGATGGGAATTCCTCTCAAGTTAATCTGTAGGTGTAATGCAGTTCAAGGTGGGGTTTTGAGGGAAATTAGATGAATTGAAAAGTTCCTCTAGAAGTAGAAATGCTCGAGAGTAGCAATTTCAGTACAAAACACACTCCTGTTTGTAAAGTAGCCGTCATTTAACTATTACAGGACTGACACGGGAGTAGATAACACAGTGAAGCCAGAGGAGAGAAGCAGACCCATTGATCCAAGAAATACAGGGACAGAATAGAAACGGTGGCAGGGGCGCCTGGGTGGCGCAGTCGGTTGGGCGTCCGACTTCAGCCAGGTCACGATCTCGCGGTCCGTGAGTTCGAGCCCTGCGTCGGGCTCTGGGCTGATGGCTCGGAGCCTGGAGCCTGTTTCCGATTCTGTGTCTCCCTCTCTCTCTGCCCCTCCCC